GTCTTAAATGAATTTTATTATAATCTCAGGAAATAAAGGCAAAAAGCCCTTTCAAATCCCAGCTTTAAAAAATTTGAAAGGTTATTATATTAAAGAGTGATTTTCTTATTTGTGCTTGACCTTAAAGGGCAGAACTAGGGGCAACAGGTAGAATTTACAGAATGACTAACTTTTGGCTTGATGTAAGCAAAAATTCCTGTCTAAAAACTAATGAGGGAGCAGCTAGGTAGTACAGTGGATACAAGCACCAGCCCTGGAATCAGGAGATGCAGCCTCAGACACTTTCTAGCTGTGTGACCCTGGGCAAGTAATTTAACCCCAATTGCCTCTCCCACAAAATTAAATAAAAATTAAAATGTACTGAATTCACAATTATAGGAAGTCATTAGGTTGCTTGACCATCTGCTGTTATTGTAGAATGGTTTGGTTAAATATAGTCTGTCTTAGATGACTTATGAGGTCTAGGTCTCTGTCAATACTATCTTCTCTCATGGTAGTCCCTTTCAACTCTGAGGTTCTATAATTCTGTGACTTGATAATTACAAAAATTCCTGCATAAAATTTGGCCATTGTGAAATTGGGTAAAGACAGCTCAACACTAATTTCATTTCAAACAGAAAGTGGGGATATTTTAGTCTATGAGTAAGTATACACAAAGCAGTTATGACCAAAATTTTATTTCAAGAAGTACAAATATGCTATATTTCCCTAATTTAAAACTTTATTTTTTTGTCTTCTCATAATTAGAACATCACTAGAAACTTACAGACACAGATAATTTGTAGCTATAATTTGAGTTAAATATAATAGATGATAAAATTACAACAATAAATACATCTGAAAGATAAATATATAAGATTGATTTCCCAGGTACATGAGTCATGTTCTTTGAACACCAATTCATATGATGTCTCTATGAAGTATTGCATTCCATTGCAGATCTTTGAGGTTTTACATGTATTCTGGTACCTATGATCATTTTCGGATAATGTGTCCATTTCAAAATAAACCAAATGTAACAAAGCAATGTGGTTTTTTTCCCCTTGCCTTGTTTTTCCACAAAATAGATATTTATTTCAGAAATTGCAAAACAAGTATTTTTATCAGCTTACAAGTAAGATATACATTATTAACCTTCAGTGAGTGCAAGAGTATACAGTACATATTTAGAATGAATAAGTATATTGCTTTTGTACTATTCATGCTTTAATTCATGCAAGCCTTTGACATAAAAAATTACTATCATGTTATGGGAGAGAAATCAGTAGCCGAGCAAAGTAAATGATTGTTGAAAACATCTTTACTTTATTCTCAACATTTGTTTCTTGTAACTCACACTAAATTGTTTTCAGTATCCCAGCACTATGCAAGGCTGTATCTCACCATAGTTGTATCTGTACAGAATAGCTATCAAATGTTTTGGTTGAAAAAGATTGTTTGTTTGTGGATAGATTCCTTGCCCACTAAACACCTTTAATTTTGTGGTTTTTCCTCTTTTCGAATCTGAGAATAGTGTACAGTGTGGTAGATCAGCTTAGGCATCAGATTATATAGTCATGGCTTCACTTTGCCAAAAACAAAACAAAATTAGTATTATGTGTGTATACACATATGTGTGTGTATAAAATATCTGAAAGAAAAAAAGTTTTATCAAACCTTGTCAGTCAAGTATACTCAGAGCCTGGGGTAAGTGATAGGAGATGAACTGGTCTATTAAGTTTGGAATTTTTAGTAGGACTGAATCATGAATTTCACTTTTCAGTGTCTGTTTCTTCATAATCTTATGATCTATGTATAGTAAAGCTGTTCTGCCATTTCACTGACTACCAAATCCATCAACTCCATCTGAATTCCACCATCCAAATATTTTACACTTATATAGAGCTACAACTTGTAAGCTTTACAAACCACTTCATGCAATTATTGTTAGCTTCAATACATCTCCAAGGGTCTTATGCTTTCTATAGATTATCTAGATCAGGAGTTCTTTGTTTGTTTTAAGACTCAGTCTCCCTATCATGCCTAGGCTAAAAGTGCAGAGGATATCCACAAAGCCAACCCCACTTTACTCAGCATGGGAGTTTTTACTTGCTCCATTTCAGAAGTGGGCTGGCTCATTCCTTACATAATCTGGTTCCCCTCACAACCTGGGAGCTTACCATATCACTTAGTGTGGGCAGCAGATCAGCTTATCCCACTGTAGATCAGAAATCCAAAGCTCAAGAAATCTGCCAGCTCCAGCCTCCCTGGTTGCAGGAATTATAATTGTGTGCCACCATATCTGGCTATCAGGAATTCTTAACACTTTTTTTGTGTCATGGAATCCTTCCAGTGTCTGGCAAAATCTATGCATTCCTCAGAATGTTTTTAAATGTCTAAAACATGAGGATCACTATGGAAGCCGATTATATCGAAATATAGTTATGAAATTGTGAAGCACACACAAGTTCATGGACCCTGGGTCAAGAACCTCTGATCTAGATCAGAAACCTCACAGCTCAGCAGTAAGAGTATCATGCATTCATATTACTTAAACCTCAGCTGCAATTTTAAAAAATATTACTTTTCAAAGGTCTCCTTACAAACCTTACATAATGATATAAAATGGTACAAACTGTTTCCTCAATTTTATTAGTAAGTTAGTATTTAGATGCTCTTTTGGCTGATGAAATTATATTTCATATTAATCTGTAAATGGAATATCAATGGATGTTGATGTTGCTAGCCAAATATATGCTTTTGATTTTAAAAAAACTAATGGAAAATCCTTGCTCAAGAGCAGTATACATGGAAAAGTCTAAAAGCTTTTTGAAATATTTTGAAAGATTTCACTTTTGAATATTTACTCAATGTCTATTGAGATTTATAGAGAAATTTAAAACTTACATACTTCTATATCTTGTTATTATCTTTATGTCCCCTTTCCCTAAAACCTTCCTAGAGTTATATATAGCAGATGAAAAGTTTTATATGCCCTCAAAAATGAGTAATTAAAGGGAGACAAATAAGGGCCCTGGCAATTCGCAAACTAGAAAGATCATTGCAGATGGACTACATACGTTCAACCACTTAAAACTGTGTTCGTCATTATCAAAAGGCCCACAGAGCCATCCTTACTTAAAGGAGGGGTAGCTACCTACACATTGCAATTTGACAAATACCAGAGCTGCCAGTTGAGAAAAAAATCTCCCTCACTGGTCCTCAATAAATCCACCATCTATTCCCTCCTTGCCAAAAATTCCCACCCTAGGCATTGTTCTGGTTGAAGTGAGAGAACCAGGGAATATTCTTTAGGAAGTCATTATAAAACTATGGACTAGTTCCCTCTTAAGAACCACTATTGCTCATATTAGATGTTTAATAAATGTAGTGTTGTTGAATTAAATTAATCCAGATGTACTAATCATTACTAAAGCCATATGAGAAACATTTGGGTATTACTTAGGGAGGTCAGGATTAAAAAACATTGATGTGGTGAAGCTAATCCCCTAGGCAGCTAGGGAGAGAACCTGGGAGTATCAGATACCTGGAATGTATCATTCTAAGGAAGGATGGGGAAGGCTGGAACAAAAAGGACAGAAGACAAACCTTGCCTCCTTTGGAATTTTGCCAGGGGCTGATCAGCAAGATTCTCATTTGTCTTTTTTGGGAAGGATTCCTGGCCCTTCATTCTCTTACTTGTCAACTATACAAACAGTAAATATTTTTGAGAGGGAGATTTGAAATTTTTGTCTAGCATACATTTAACTGTATTGAAATTAAAAGGAACATTAATAGGTTTTTCTGAATGGGAATTTTCATGAAGAATGCCCAAATAAATACAGTGTTGATGACAAAATCAGGATTGAGTGTCTTCAGGCTAGAACAGAAAATTTTATTGCAATCCTTACTACCCCATTAGCACTGTTCAGGAAATAACAATATCTGTAACTGAGTTTGGAGAGTGGAAGATGCTCAGGAAATCATTTGAAGAATGTGATAACTGTTTCTAAAGTGAATACTACAATTGACAAGTTTTAGAAGGCATTTGTAATGGAATATGCTAGCTAATTTACTATCAAATGACTGTTTTCCAGTAGTACACTTTTGAGATACCTTTCACCAAAAACAGTGATCAATTTTTTTTTATTTCAAAGTATTTTGAAAAATAATTGTGCTTCTCTATCTTGGATGATTTTTATGCTTTTGTCATTTAACAGTGTATAGAGATCTTGATGTGAAGCATTTTTAAAAGTTCCTTTTACATTTTTTAGCCTCAAGAAAAATTATTGCCCTGTAGGTCAAACTAAGGAATTTTTAGTTTTTTCTTTTTCAATCCTTGAACTGAATTCAAACACAAAAGGAAATGAGATTACAATTCACTCATATATTAGAACAATCTGATAATAAAACCAAGAAACCTCATAAAAGTGCTTATCACTAAATATTGAATCTAAAAAGACCCGACAAATAGGACTACCCAATTAAAGAAAAGCATCTTCACTGGCTATTAAAACTCACAACAATGCATTTAGCCAGCCTCAAGCTAGAGAGGCATTCATGTGAAAATGAGAATCAAGCACCTTTTGGAGGGGGATGGCTAGTGTATACTATTCTTATTCATGAATGACGCAGCATCATGCTTCTTTCTTCACTCCAAATCCTGCCATGAAAATTAGGGCTCCATATGCTGTGCTGAAAGAAAAGCCTGTGCTATAAGGTGGCAAGCTTGAAATAAATAGATGTTACCTTGCTTTGACATATGCTTTAGATATTTATATCAATTTATATAATCAACATTTCTATTTTTAATCTTCAGAATTTGAGAACCACTATTCTAATTTTAAATAGTCCTATATATTTGACAGTTCCTGGAGCATGTAATTCATTAGCTAGAGTATTCAACCTTTTTGGATTTGTTTTATTTCCCGACAGAATTTGTGGTCTTCTAATGCGACTAGTTGTTATTTATGAATTACCCTCTTTGCGAAAAGGAATTTATATTTCCATTAAAGCAAACATTTTCAGTCAATGGGCATCTTATCTTTAATCACTGAGTATTTTTATCTTTAAGTTTAACATAGACATCAGCGAGGATGGGGGAGGGGCATGTAGAAACAAGAAATATGGACTTGCTTCACACGGGCAGGGCTTTCACATGACCACACATTTACCCTTCAGCTTCTCCTTCCTTTTCTGCTGTTTACTCTTTTTTCCATCAATCTGAAGACTCACAGTCCTGCGTTTCTCCAGGTTTAGTAGCTCTTGGAAGAGTTCTTTGACATTATGATTCATCTTGGCTGAGGTCTCCATAAAGGCACACTTCCATTTCTTTGCCAAAGCTTCACCCTCACTGCTCTCCACCTCTCGGTTTGGACTCTCATCATTCTTGTTCCCCACTAGCATGATTGGAATGCTTTCCACATCTCCTTTGATCTGACAAATCTGTTCATAGATGGGTTTGAGTTCTTCCAAGGACTGTTGGCTTGTGATAGAATAAACCAAGATAAAGGCATGGCCTTTGGAAATAGAGAGGCGTTGCATTGCTGGGAACTGATGGCTACCTGTTGTGTCAGTGATCTGCAAAGTGCAGATACTCTTATCACAGCTGATCACCTGACGATAGGTATCTTCAACAGTGGGGATATAGCTCTCTCGGAAAGTGCCTTTCACAAACCTCAAGACCAAGGAGCTCTTGCCAACGCCTCCTGCTCCAAACACCACTACTCTATAATCATTGCTTTGTTCAGGCATGTTGTCTGACAGATTTAATTGTCAACTTGGAAAATACCTAAGGAATAAAAGATGTATTAACACAGTTAATCAGATTCTCCTGAGGAAAAAATATTTATCCATTTCTGAAAATGCAAACAATTAAGTTGATTTATTAAATGTAGTGAACCCTTCATTCTAATAGGCTTATCCAAAGGTGGCTTGGCAGGTCCAACCTCAATTTCACTTTGTTGTTGTTGTTTTCAGGAGCTGAGGGCACTGGGACAAGAGGGGTAAAAAAACAAGTAGCAACTATATCCTTGATGGTTGCTTGGTCTGAGACATATTACTACATGAAATTATACTTCCCTATTTAAGCACCTCAGGATATAACTTCAAGACTAATGTTAGTTCTTTCTGGGTTTGAATTTTGGGATTTGAACTTTCTCCTAGTCCTTCTTTGGGAAGAGATTTCTAATTTAGGGGGCACAAGGTAACCTAAGGCACAGGGTTTCATAACAGCAGCGTGACAATTGTTACCTTTCCTGCCATGACGAACAGCCATGACAAAGGGGATGCAATGTGGCACAGAAGAAAGACAATGACTTTAGAGTTAGAGGACCTTAGTTCGAATCCCTGCTCTTCTATTTTTCACTGATGTCTAGCAGTACAGGGATCTGATAAACTGTTTTGCATTTTTCAAAATCACATTACCAAATGACATTTAATTTGAAAATTACTTTGAAGATGCTTTCATTTTCTCTTGATATTCTCAGAATTCTCCTAAGGTTTTTCAAAAGGGAACAAAACAAAATGGTGTCTGACTGAACATACAAAACAACAACAGAGAAGATGAAAAAAAAAAAGGACTAGAAAGTAACATACACAAAATATATACAGAAAAATCACATTATACAGATGTTCAATTCAATAGCATCATATAAAACTTCATGGCAATTATGGGAAAGATTTAGAAGTTAGACTTCCACAGTAGAACACAGAAATTCTGAGGGGGACTTCTAAGATCTTGCAGATAGTCCCTCAACCAATCAGAAAGTGCCCCAAGGGGGCACCTAGACAGTGCAGTGGATAGAACACGGGCCCTGGATTCAGGAAGACCTGAGTTCAAATCTGGCCTCAGAAACAACACTTACTAGCTGTGTGACCCTGGGCAAGTCACTTCACCCCATTGCATCACAAAAAAAAAAGTACCCTGAACACTCTGCAAAACCACTCCTTCCTTAAAACAGAGTGCCAGAGGCTAAACCAGTTGCAACTGGTCAGGGTCAAGGACTGGGCAAAGGCTTTTCTCCACTGAGCTTGCTTAATGAGCTTATTGAATCTTAACTGGCACATCTTGAGGGTGGAGATAGTTGCCATTTTTGAACATGGGACATAACCAAGAGGGATAAACATGACAAGGAATAACATGGGATGGGCAGTTCAGGAACAGTGTAACCCAAATGAACTGGTCCAATCCCAGTTCAAATAGGAGGAGTATGGATTTTACTAACCATTTAAAAGTTGGCTCTGCTTCTGTACCAATGCACATGTGCTGTACTAGGCTGCAGTGTGCCCACTTCTCACAAGAACCATAATAAAGGCTTTCCTTTACACATTCCTGTAGTAGACTTTTGTTTCAGACTTTCTAACAGTACATGAAAATGCCAAAGCCTACCAATACAAATAATGCATCAGAAAAGATAAAACTTCTTGAATTAAAAGGTTAAAGCCATATAATTTGAGATCTTTAATATGTCTTCACCAAAACATTCATGGAGATTCAAAATTAAGCATTAAAATATAAATTAAACATTATATAGCAAGCAAAGTCTTTCCCCTCTATATAAAGAGTATATTAACTATCTTGGGAGTATCAAATTCTCTTGGATACAGAGGTGGTCTACAAGTCAGGAAGTTGTGCAACTCTAGAAGGCTATAAGTGTAGACAATTTTCTGATCTATACTGGTAGAGGAAGTTTCCTCCAATGAAATCACAGCTCCAGTTAAAATAAAATTGGAATTGCATTCAGCATTCAGACCTGAGAATAGGAGCATTATGGGCAAGACTCAAAGAGACTGTATGTTAGACTAGACAGTTTGGGAAAGTATAAGCATCAAGTAAGCAGACGGAAAGTCAGAGGACTTGACCAGTCTCATCATTAGGTATCTGATTTTTGACATTCTCCCCAAACTTTACCTGAGCTGGAACTGGGCAACTCTGAACACAGACAATTTCAACCAAACCTGAACCAAAGTACTTAGGGTCTCATAAATAGCTATGGAGCAAATAAAACTGTAAGTAATTGGGGGAAAGGGAATTAGGAAAACTTTTCTAAATTTCCTTCAAGGTATTCCAGAAACAATATTACAGAAACAGATCAAATGTTTCACTAAGCCAAAAATATTAATCAAATTAATGAGACATTGTATTTGTGCTAGGTTTTTGTTCTTTGTACTATCTTGATGTTTACTCGGGAAGTTCCATTTGCACTGAACATGTTGTGATCTTTTAGAAATGGAGGCATTATGGAATACTTGAAATTACAAGTCAGGACATGAGAGTTCTGATCCCATTTTATCTAGAGCAGGGGGTTTTAACCTTTTTAATAGCATGAACCTCTGGTAGTCTGGTGAAGTATATGGCTCCCTTCTCAGACTGTTTTTAAATATATAAAATAAAATATATAGAATTGTAAATGAAAACAGTATACTGAAATATAATGATCAGTTTTTTAAAAATTAAAAAATTCAAACCTCTAGATTAAAAAACCTTGACTCTCTAAGGGACCTAGGACAAAATACTCATTCTCCTTAAGCATCAATTTCTATGATGGGGGTTCAACTAGATCATCTCTAACTTCCGTTAAGCCTCTAAATCTTATGTTTAAAGATAATAAACCAGCACCTTTTTTTTAAAAAAAGAAATATATTCTTAGGATATAGTTACACCTCTTTCTTTTCTAATCACAGGCTTGTTATGTGCAAGGTGCTGAGGAAATTAACACGGAAAGAAAATAGTTGCTGCCCTCAAGAAACTTACATGCTATTGGGGGGAAATAAAATGTACACAGATAAATCACTTTAAAAGGAATGCAAAGTAATTGACATCCATTTTAACCCCAATCTTACACATAGGCATTCTTTATGATTATAACATTTATAAATTACTTTCAATCTTAAAATTAATTTAGCAAAGATTTCCTTAGCTGCCTACCATCTGAGCTTTTGGCTGGCTTTTTCTCTCTAAAAATCTCAGATTGTCTCCTTTTGAGACAAACAATGCAGGGGATTAGTTCTTTATTAGAGCTACTATGCCTCTCCCTTCAGTTCATAGAATGATAAAAAATGAGAAACAGAAGAGACTTCAGCGGCCAATTTTAACCCAAACACAAAAAAGTCCTCACTATATGAGCTAAGATTTTTGCTTCCTTTTTCTTTCCACAAAGAATCAAAATGAAAAACAATCATGACTTTGAAAGGTACAAAGCCCATTGCATCTTTTTGATATGTTTTTTAATGCTTTCCTTTTTTTTTTTTTTGTTTGATAGAACTCACTTTTCCTCTCTTCCTTTCCTCTGGTCTCTGTTGAAATAGTCATCCCCTTGCCAAGGCCCTTTAAATGCAACCTTCATCCCATGCTTTCCAGCAGATTGCTCCCTTAATTAACACACCTTTCTCTATTTTTTAATCTCTCTCAGTCAATTGGTTCTTTCCCTACTTCCTTCAAAAATGGCAGGTTAAAAAACCTTCACCACGCCCTATAAATCCCTCAAGCTATTGTACTATATCTTTCCTGCCTTTCTCAGTGAGTGAGCTCCTAGAAAAATTTATCTGTACAGTACTTATTCCTCCTGCCACTTCCTCAGCTTTCCCATCTCATTTGAAGATGATTCACAGTTCTGTACACCCAACCCTAGTCTCTCTGAGTTCCAGTCTCACATCACTAACTGCCTATTGGGTATTTTGATCTGGATATCCAAGAGACATGTCAAACTGAAAATGTTCAAAGCAGATCTTTTCTCTAAAACCCTTCCCCTTTTCCAAAATTCCCTATTTTTGTCATTCTTCAAGTTGATAACCTGGGAATTATCCTTGACCCTTAATGTTCCCTCACCCCATACATTCATTCACTTGCCAAAACCTGCCATTTCCACATCTCCTTCAAAAGCATCCATATCTGACTCCTTTCTAGTCACACAGCTGTCACAGCTAGATTACAGCAGTAGCCTGCTAATTGATCTCCCTTCCTCAAGTTTTTTCTCACTCTAATTCATTCCTACACAGCTGTCAATTATTTTCCTTAAGGGTGGATCTGACTATGTCATTCACCTATTCAAAAAACTACAGTGATTCTCTATGGTTTCTAGGGAAAACATATGCACTACGCTATTTGGTTTTTCAAGCCCTTTAAACCTGGCTCCAATCTGTCTTTTGAGTTTCCCTGTACATTATTCCCCTCCAGAACCCGTTACCAAAACAAACAAAAAAAATCTGAATATTTTAAATCTGGCCTAATTTTCTGTGACAATCCTAATTTTAAGAAAATATGTGCTTTTAATGAACCCATAGATAGAATGTTTTCCTGGCCTGATATTTCATTTGGTAGAATGCAGCTGCTGTGGCTATAGATCAGCTAAAAAAGATTATAGCAGCATGCTTCTTCCCTGCCCTAGGCTACACCCCAAATGAAGACTCCATTGGACTTTCAAAGGTCTATTTAAATCTGTCTCCCCTCCTCCCAATTTGTTAGAAGAAGAAAGCTTCTCTCTCTTTTCTCTCTAGTCATTGTTGATTGTTAAGTCAAGCAAATCTACTTTAGTGGCTGAAAAATATATATTTCTCAAAAAAAAAATTGGAACCTTGTAAGTACGAGAATAGATTTTAAAAATCTAATTGCCTTTGATGAAAACAAAGTCAGGCAAAATTCTTTTACTTAGACCTTTACTGGTATTGAGTGGCTTCAAAGAAAGTAAAACCACTGTAGGAAATACGTATTTTCCACAATCATTTAAATGTGTTGGCAAACTGTAACTGTTCTTGTCAAGACAATGGCATTGTGGCATAACTTGATTTGCT